CCGGATTATTGCCTGCTCCTGTCCACATGACCGACATCTTATGGTTCGTCATTATCTACATATGGTCTTTTTCTTCCTAGCCGCTCATTTTGTGTGGGCCTTCAGTTATGTTAAACAGTGAGAAATAAAAAAAATGAATCTGTTCTATAGCAAGAATAATTAATCGTTGTTGTTTCAAAGTTAATCCATTTATTGGTTTTGTTCGGAAGCAAAGATATCTGTGGAGCCCAGTTCGTTATAAATCAAGAAAGGACACTTTTTTAGCTCGCATGCACATTCCTTTATGCGCGAGAAAGTAAGAAACAGAAAGAGCAGCTAGCCACGAGATGCCCAGCTAGGACGACGATCATGGTTCATGGAGGAAGAGCAATATAGAAACACCAGTGGGGGTGTGCTTTGTCCGGTGGAATGTTTGACCGGCCGGCCGGCCGGGATCGTCGGGAAAGCCCGCTCCCGTGGCCGGGCGGGCGCTGACCGGGCTGCACGTGCGGTCGACATGCCCGCGCTGGCACCGCACCGCCGCGCGGCGCGCCTCGGGATTCCGCGCCACGCTGCCACATGCGCGCGTACGTGCGCCCCCGCCTGCCCTGCCAGCGTAGCCAGGGAGCTTCCTTCTTCCCTTCGCCGCCGGTGGTGGCTTCGTCGTGTTCTCGCGCGGGCGCGGCGACCGAGGACGAAGGGTGCGCGCGCGCCACTGGCATTAGCATAGTCCGCGCGTTGTCGCCTGCTTTGCTAGCCGCTTAATCTAATCTGGTCTAGTCGATCGCCCATAATTACGTGCGCAAGTGCACGTCGCCCGTCAGCTACGGACCCGGATTTCATGCGCTTCCTTCCTTGTTTAACCGGGGCTAGAGATTGCATGGTCTGCTTAGACTGCCGTGCCTACGGAATACTCATATGCATGGCAGCTGGCCGTTCTTTTAGGGGGATAGAAGAGGAGATCTGTTCAAATACTCCTCCTACCTACGTACATGCATCACAATATGGCAGCTTGCCATGTTGCATGCATGCATGCCAAGCACAGCCAGTCGACCCAGGCAAGTGAAAGTAGCAACCAAACAAATGCATCACACGAGCACGGATGCAGGCAGCTTCCTCGCTCTTTCTTCCCAGCTGCACGTACGCAATTATTGAGATAATAATCTATACAAACAAGCGCGCGTACGTACGTATTGGAAATAACACTCGATCTTCGATCGGGAAGGGGGGAGGGACGCATGGGAAGAGATGATTACCGGCCACCATGGATCACATGCAGCAGGAGAAGAGGAGAGGAGAGATCGGTCGGCCGGTTGGACCGATGCAGCCCACGGAAAGGCGTGTAACCAACCGCACGGCACGCCATAGTAAAAAGCCAACTTGGTCCATGGGGCAGGCGAGCGCACACACATGCACGGCCGGTGTCTTTGACAGCACGGCCATGTCGGCCAAAATCAATGTGAGCAGCTACCGGCACAAGAGATAAGCTTATTACTCCATTTGTCGTACTAGTGTCGAAAACCCTTTTATATTATGAGACAGAGGGAGTATTACGCAGGGTTCGTCATCTGTGGTATTACCGACGGTGAACAAGTGGACCTGCTTCAAGAACACCATGTCACACACGGAGAAGTTATATATGCGTGGCACCTCTGACTCGTCCTTTTTGCAACAAGAACAAGGTATATTCTTTTTCCTCTCTTTTTTGCAGGAAAAGGAACTTTCATTAATTAAACGAGATGATTACATTCAGACTTGACTATTCTAGCTATCTCATCAGGGGAGTTTCGAAGCCAACAAGCTGTTCGTTCTTGCGCCTGTCCCATACAAGCAAGGGTGTGGCTAGCTAGCAGCATTAGCATGCCGCCCGAGAGCCCTCTGAAGAATGTCTTGGGGCTACATTGACAGATCAGTTAGCATGAATATCTCCAAGAAATCGTTTATGTAGATAA